GCCCGGCGAAGCCACCAAGAAGCCGACGCCCTGCAAGCGCTGCCGGGAGCTGGTGGACAAGTTCAACCAGGTGGGCGGTCACCGTGCAGGGACACAGAGCCGGGGGTGGGCTAGGGTCCCCTCACCATGGACCTGGGTCACCCCCATGATGGACTGGGGTCACTTCCTCCATGAACCTGAGTCACCACGCCGTGGATCCAGAGTTGCTCCACTGGAACTGGGGTTACTCCCTCTGTGGACCCAGTGTCAGCTCACCATGGACCGGGGTCGCCCCTGCTGTGGAACCGGGGTTACCTTGCCATTGACCCAGGGTTACTTCATCACGGACCGTGGTCACTGTGCCATGGACAGGGGCCACTGTGCAATGCGGTAGAGTCACCCCCGCCGTGGACTCAGGTCATCTCGCTGTGGACAGGGGCGAGGCAGCAGTGCTGAGCTCTGTGCCGCCCTCTCCCCGCAGGGAATGGTGGACACAGCAAAGAAGAACTTTGGCGGTGGAAACACAGCTTGGGAGGAAAAGACACTGTCCAAGTACGAGTTCAGGTGAGCAGACTACTCTCACCCGTCTGGCACCTGCCTCTGGTGCTTGAGGTGTCCTGGGAGCGCTGACAGACACAGAGGGGTGCTTTGACACGGTCACAGTCACCTGGCCTTGCCTGGGGCTGGGACTGGTGTGCTGGCCCTGACTAGCCTTTTGGCTTGTCCCACCCACTCTCCACACGACAGACACGGTGGTCTTTTAAAGACACAGATGGGGCTAACCCCCTCCCCCACTGCCACAAGCTTGGGCTTCCTCCTGCCCCTCTGCTGGGCTTCCTTTGGTAGACCCTGACACCTGATGTCCCAGCCCAAGGATGGACAGGCCTCCCTGAGCACCCCTGCCCTCCACATTTAATTCTCTGCCAGGTAGTGACTACCCCCAGCTGCAGCTGGGGTGTTTGTTAGGGTCTTTTTTCACTAAACTGCCACCGTAGTCCTGGCCTGGCACCAGGCAGGGCCTCAGGACGTCATTGTAGAGTGGGCAGTGAGCACCAAGGCGCACCTTCCCCCGGCCTCACGGCACTGACGGCCTTGTGTTTCAGCGAGGTCCGCCTCCTGGAGATCGTGGAGGGCCTGTGTGGGAGCAGCGACTTCGAGTGCAACCAGCTGGTGGAGGAGCATGAGGAGCATCTGGAGGCCTGGTGGCTGCAGCTGTGAGTCCCTCGCTTCTGAAGTCGAGTCAGATTTAGAGACGTCAGAGCAGTAGGAGTTCCCGCGTTCCGGTCTTTCATTCCCGGGGTGCAGTGATCTTGACGAGATTAGCGAGAAGTGTCTGCTTCCCAGACCCCGGGATATTCAGGAGCACATTTTACATTCAACTGAGTTTTTGTTTAAGGACATCTGTTGTGTGAGATGTAGTGAACGCTTTTTAAAACCCATAGGAAGAAGAAGTATCCTGACTTATTTGAATGGTTTTGTGTGAAAACACTGAAAGTTTGTTGTTCTCCAGGAACTTACGGGCCGAACTGCCTGGGTACGTTTTTCCATGGGGACCCTCGAGTGTCCTGCATCATCCTTGCTATCCCTGTTGTGATTCCCAGGTGGGCAGAGGCGTAGGAGGGAACCTGGGGCCTTCTGTGGTTTACTGTCCTGGTGTCACCAAAGTCATTCATTGGTCACCTGGGCGAAGGGCACAGTCTTGGAGCCCAGAGCCCCCACTGGCTGCGGCCGCTCCTGCCTTCCCTGCTGGCCTGTGGCCACGGCAGGGTGTTCTCGCTCTCCTGTGTCTAAGTGCGCTGGGCTCCCACGAGGGCCACCCACTGGGCCTGCAGACCCCAGGTGTCACAGCTTCTCCAGACCCCTTGCCCAGGGGCTTGTGTGCTCCTCAGACAGAACCACAGTTGCTTCCGGGGTAAAGGAGGGCTTGGATTTCATCAGGAGACCCAGAAAGCTGTTATGAGCATGACCATGTCGCTTGAGTGAGGAACACTTCCTCTGGGTGAGAACACGGCCCAGGGTGCACTCTGAGCAGGGCTGGTGTCCCCACAGCATGCCAAGGAGGGTCCGAGCGGCCCTGCAGTGGGAATGGCCTCTGCAGTGGAGACGGCAGCAGACAGGGGGACGGGACCTGCCAGTGCCACCTGGGCTACCAGGGGCCACTGTGCACCGACTGCACAGCCGGGTACTTCAGCGCACTGAGGAACGCCACCCACAGCGTCTGCACAGGTACCGCCGTCCGGGAGGCACACAGGAGCAGCCCCTTTCCCGAGCTGCTGCGTGGACGAGAGCAGGGGCACTGATGACCTCTCACCCAGACTCCTGGGAGCTTTGGGGAGACGCA